TAATATTTAAAACATACTTTTGGAGCAATTATAATGTTACTTAAAGACTTTTTTTGGTTCCAAGTGAAAGAAGATGCCTTTTACTTTCTGTCTTCAAATCAATTTTTATCATCGATATGGTTAACTTGGTATTATTAATCAAAATGAGTGAAATAAAGTTGAAAATGTGTCCGTAAATAATTATTATGGTAAAAAAATTATTGAAAACTGCAAGTAAAAGGCATCTTCTATCACATGAAACTAAAAATAGTCTTTAAGTAACATTATAATTGCTCCAAAAGTGTGTTTTAGATATTATATTTGAAGAATGCATACGCAAATAAGGGTTATTCATTTGTCAACGACCATATCATGTAAAAAGCACCAGTTCTCGTCCGATCACTGAAGTTAAGCTGCATTGAGCATGGTTAGTACTTGAATGGGTGACCGTCTGGGAACACCATGTGTCGTTGGCACCATTTCTTTTTTTTTAATTCTTTTTTGATGATTTTTTTTCTTCATTACTTTAATTTTTTTTTTTTTGTTGTAATCTAATTTTCATCATTTGAAATTGAAAAGCAAGTTGAACACCAAAATAAATATATTCTTATTCTTTCCCCTTTGTTTCAGCTTGATATTTTGAGCATTTAAAACAAATGTTATGAAATCATTTGATCAAATGTTATCATTTAATTAATGTCTGTGGTTTTACTTTCTTTGAACTAAGACATAATTCAAATTTGTTGTGGGAAAATGAATGTCAATAAAATATGGTGCAAAGAACTATTTAGGTTGTTTTTTTATGTCATTTTAACTTTCACCATAAGTGGATTCGTCGCACAAAGTACAACAAAAAAGGTTTGCGCAAATCTGTCACATTTCTTAATTGATTCGCCTTGGCGATTGCACATATGAAAACAAAAGTCCATTCGCCGGTCATCATTTTTTATTTGCAATAAATGGCTGATATCGAAATTGGATGAGAAAAAATATATCTTTAAAAATCGCAATGGCCAAGACGACGAATGATAAATAGCACTTCCAGAGCAAGCGAGTGGACATTGTTAGCTATTTTTGATGAGCGATACCAATCAATCGCTGTGCTCATGTCATGTAGATAAACCGAATCCGGAGCGACCAAAAAATTAAATAAAAACATAATACATAATATTCATCATTATGTTGCAATGGTTGAATAAAAAGTGCAACATCTGCTCTTCACTTTCAATTTATTGGAATGAGAAGATTTGTAGAGTGAATTTTAGGATATTTTGAACCTTTGCTTGATAAAATATACAAAAAGAACTGAAATTGAACGGCTGAGATAAATGCGTTACCTAATGCAAACACAAAATCCTATCGAAAGAAAAAAAAATGGTAGAAATGACATACATTTTTTATCACTGCATAATTTTTTCATCAATTTTTTTTATTGCCAAATACATTCCCTTTTCGGCGGACTTTTTTCAATATCTTAATCATCATTAGAACCATAAAATTATTTACTACGCAAAAAATGAAAATATATTAAAATCGCCAACGCTTTTTTTGAATCGCTGCATAATAATTAGATTAGGTTATATGTCATTGGCGGCCGTGTCACTGAAATGATAACAAAATGACTGAGTGAGGGAAGCTCATTTGGTATAAAAGAGACTGCGATTTTAAGCAAATCATCAGTTCAACACTTGTATGTCCATCGAAGGAGTACAGTGTCAGTAATATAGTAATTCACTTCCAACTATCTAGGAAAATGAAGTTGTTCGTGGTTTTGTCGTGCATTGCTTTGGCTGTAGCCAAACCACAGGGTTATTCATATCCAGAACAATCCATTGGAACTGGATTCGGATTGAGCTCACCTGGATCTGGTAAATTAACACATATTTTTCTTCAATTCGTCAAAAAATTGCTTAAATTTTATATCAAATTACTGAATAAATAGTAAAGCTCACTTAATTATTTGATGTAATTTCAATAATTTCAATTCAGCTCCAGCCCCTTCATTCAGTGGATCTTCAAGTGGTGCTTCATTGTCGGCCGGATCTTCGTTGCCAAGTGCACAATCATTCGCCCAAGGCGCACCATCATTCGCGCCAAGTGCACAATCATTCGCGCAAAGCGCACCATCATTCGCGCCAAGTGCACAATCATTCGCCCAAGGCGCACCATCATTCGCGCCAAGTGCACAATCATTCGCCCAAAGCGCACCATCATTCGCGCCAAGTGCACAATCATTCGCCCAAGGCGCACCATCATTTGCGTCAAGTGCACCATCATTCGCCCAAGGCGCACCATCATTCGCGCCAAGTGCACAATCATTCGCCCAAAGCGCACCAGCTTTGCCAGCCACTTTAGCTTCATCAGGCAGCGCGTTCAACGCACCTGCTCCACAATCCTACCAACCAGCTGCTCCAGCCGCTCAAACTGAAGGCCAAACTACTGTCCACAAACACATCTATGGTATGCATGAATATAAATTCATGATATTTGAATATATTTCAAGTGCATGAACACCAAATCAAGCTGATTTGAAATATTTTTGTTTGTTTAGTGCACGTTCCACCACCAGGAATTGAAGATGCTGCTGAACCAAGCTCAGCTGGCACTCCAGCTCAAGCACAAAAACACTACAAAATCATTTTCATTAAGGCTCCATCAGCTCCAGCTATTGATCCAGATCAATTACGTAAATTGGCTCAACCAAAAACTGAAGAAAAGGTTGTTCAACCACCTAAATTGTACATTTTTTTCGGTTTTTACTAAATAATTTTTCTTTTGTATCATGTAGACTATCGTCTATGTTCTTGCTAAGAAACCAGAATCACTTGACGATTTAGCACGTAACCTCCCAGTCGTTTCAACAACCCCAAGCAAACCAGAGGTAAACCAAACTCAGCTGTTCCAATTCATCTGAGCCCTGTATTATGTTTTGTTTACTTTTGTGTAGGTTTACTTCATCAAATACAAGACCCAAAAAGAACAACAAGAAGCCGCCGCACCAGCTGCTTCAGTTGCCCCAGCAACCATTGATACTGAATCTACTGTAGTTTCCGCTTCAGACGAACCAGTCTCTGCGCCAGCTCAATCATATGGAGGTATATTTTCATCTTAATTGTGAACATTTTTTCAATTGATTAAAAATCAATGAAAAAACATTCATGTGATTTTGATTTTCAGCACCACCAGCACCAACACCAGCAGCACCAGCACCAGCACCAGCAGCACCAGCACCTGCTCAAACCTACGGCCCACCCGCTCAACAAGTAAGCGTTTTCAATTGAAATATAATTTTTCGTGGCCAAATACAAAATGATATTCGACAAATGCAATCTGGAAATAATATAAGACACACATAATAATTATCAATTTGAAAATCTATCTTTGTTTCACAGCCACAATCTGCTTACTTACCAGCACAGCCTGCTCCACCACACCAGCCAGCATCCACCTATGGTCCAGCTCACTAAATGGAACAAAACTCGATTTTTGTTATCAATTCGAATACTTCAAAATGATGATGTTATTGTCTCTTATTAGATTAAAATGTTATTAGTTAAGTAAAAATAAAAATATTACGGTGACAAAATTAAATCAAAACAGTTTTTTTTCCTTGAATCAATATCTCTCAATACATAATTCTCTATCAAAACATATTTCTGATAATGAAAGGTAGATAATGTGATTTGATTGACCAAACAATCTTGTCTCTTGAATGGCACTTGCATAAAAAAATGAAACGGAGAATGAAAAGAGAGCGCAATTTGTAAACCTTATGACGATCCATTTGAAAGGGCACCCTACGTAGTTTATAACGTTACAAATTCCAAGAATTTCATAAAAACTATCCGCTCTTCGAATTATTTTACAAAAACCACACATCGACGAAACATATTCGAAATGTCAATCAAACTAATTAGTAAATAATATTTCGAATACATAATTTTCATATTAACGTTGACCGTCTCAACCTCAACATCTGTAAAACAGTAAAACGCACAAACTCGCTCTCCCGAACCAGTTGCTTATGCACATTCGTCAATTGCTCGAGACTATTCTCAAAGAATGAAATCTTCTGTTTCTGGGCCAATGAATCGTCATTATCCTTACTTTCTTCAGCAGCAGCTGACTTCTTAATTCGATCATGAATAAAGGCATCTTCTTTCACTTCGAACCAAAAAAATCTTTAAGTAACATTATAATTGCTCCAAAAGT